TTACCCAAATACAACCCAATATACTATAGTAGCTTCCATTTTCTTCTCCATTACCCCAATATTACCCAAATATAACCCAATATACTATAGTAGTTTCCATTTTCTTCTCCATTACCCAACCCTAAACCCTAAACCCTTAACCCTAAACCCTTAACCCTAAACCCTAGTTTGAGTAGCCCTGTCTCCTGGTCACCTTCCCCAGGGTCGCGCTTGTAGATCTTCGCATTTGCGTAGCCCAACTTGATGGTAATGTTACCTGAGGCTGTAAGGTCCAACAAGGAATTCAAGTTGTAGTTTTCATGGTTCTTTTCCATCATCCCTATAGAACCCCAGTATAACCCCTATAAAATCCAAATATCACCCCAATACACCCCCAAGTGGGAACAGAGCCAAGGCGGACCACCGTGAAGTCCTTTTACGCATGATTGCGAGCGCGTCGGTTGACAGCTTCCGCAATCTGCTGTGCTGTAGACGAACCCACGAGTAAGACCGAACTTTAGCCTGCATATTATTAATATGCTATAGTATAATATAATAAACTATAATATACTATAATATACTATACTAATATACAATAATAACAAGAATGTACTATCGTAAATATACTATCATAATTTGAGCACTCTTTCCAGTGGGAGCTGTGGGAAGCCTTGAAGATCGCCTACTCCGAACCTCCAATTCTCGCGACAAGTGACGCTCCTTTTCGGCCTTGAATTTCACCGTGTGAGTTCCCGAGAGGCCCTTCACTACCTTAGCTCAGGCAGTGTGGGAGGATGCTCGGACGCTCCCGTGCAGCACAGTACGCTCTACCTGACATCAGCAGAATTCCTGAAGCAAAGGGGTCCAAGAAGCAGTGGACTTTCCATGGGCAACGTGGCCGATTGTGCCAACCTCAGTTTGCTCTTCACAATCTTCAACACGGATGTCTTAGGAGGACCCCCCACCCTGTAATAGTGGTATAATAGGAATATAATGGGACCCTGATATAATCTGATCATCCCTTGTAGTCACGATTAGAAGGTGGGAAGGTCCACCTGACGGATGTCCATCAACCTGGATCCCCTTGCAAGTTCTGACAGTCACGTTAACCCCTCCCTTATAAAATGAGGGTAGTAGTTGTTGTTGCCCTCATGAACTCAGGAGCGGTTCATGAAATGGAGGGCGCGTCACCTCATAGGAACCTCAAAAAAACAGTTATGTCATGGGGGGAGGACGTCAATAATTAAAATGGTGGCTTAGATAGCTCTTTACACGAAGAAGTAGCTCACATACATACTACCCCCTCACGAAGGATTGCCTCCCAGGGAGCCCGCCCCCCCATTTTACACACTCTTTGTTTGAATGGGATAGGGGGGTGCCACCGGTATTTGTTGAAATGAAATATTTGGGGGGGGGGGTACGTCAACTCATGGCATGGATGTAAACGGGGGACCCCCACCCATTTCATAGGGGGTGTCTGAGGGAAGGTCAACTTGGCGCCTCCATTCTTCCAAACTAACCTTACAGGAGCTGGATTCACTAGAGCAAGGTGCCTGCGGAAAATCTTCGATTCAAAGTGGGAGTTTCCTAAAAATACGCTTTCCCATAATGAGGATTACAGTATTTTGGGGTCCATGTAGGGGTCACCCTGGCTAGGGAAACTGCAAAAAATATTCTGGCCCAGCTGCATTCATGGTTGCCTGTCTGCTAATGACTTCCGGAGTCAGGGGCGTGAGCGTGCTGACCTCGGGTACTAGCCCTAAACCCTAAGGGCTAAAACCCTAAACCCCAAACCCCAAGCCCTAAACCCTGAACAATAGCTGGCTACTGGCTGACCAGAGCGCTTCACAGCGATACGGCGCCAACCTCTTTCGAGTGGCAAGGACAAAGGTGGACAATACAACAACTTCCCTCTAATGCCTTCGGGTGAGCTATAGTCAAACTCCAAGTATCCTTCTTGATAAGCTCTATGATAGGGATCTTATATAGTCCCCCATACAACCCCCTTTAAGGAGTTTAAACTATAGTTCAGGTGATAACAGGGTAGCTCCAGTACATCATTGGGCGACCAAGATCTGGAAAGCCTCAGAAAAGCTGCGGCTGATGATTTGAAGGCCCTGACAAATAACCGCAACAAGAATAGGCGGGAGAACGCTATCGTAGACAATGAAACAAACTGCAGAAAGTCAAATCCATTTCGTGCAGATGAAGAATAGTAGGAAGCACCTCAAGAACATGCGGTGTGGGTTTTATATCCCCCAAAATCCGCCACAATCCCCCAATGATCACCAATAATCCCTAATTATCCCCGGATAGTCCCTTCTGTCCCCTAAGCAACTCATGAGCTGCTCTAAACCCTAAACCCTATGCTCTAAACCCTAAGCCCTAAACTGCTTGCCAAGATGCATCAAGCGTGGATAAATCCTGGACGGCCAGGCCATCTTTGGGATCGACTTTGAGGTCCGCCATCCCGAGAAGTCTCCTGGGCAATGATAACGGATTATTGGGGAACGGTTGGGGACTATTGGGGGGATTATTACTGATTTTTAAGTGCTTATTGAGGATTCGGTCAGATAATATGGAAAAGCTCGGTTGGAAGGAAGCCGTGTTCCCTTCTTTGCGGTTGCAAGGCTGCACAGTAGAAAAAAAAACGCCTGGCATGCAATTGCACGGCCTGATGCCCATGTGCATGAAACAGCAACAGCTTGTGTAGCAGCAGGCTCCAAGAAAAAGTATAGGACGAGGCGCTATGCACACTCCTAGGTCTCCGGAATCTACCCTGTCCCGCGACCCTTGAGCCCGGCAGTTTTGAAACAGGCCAAAATCTTGCACATGATTTCAAACTGAGGATGTGTTGGCCCACTTCTTCAAGCATGTCAAGCGAAAGAAGCTGTGGGAAGCACTGGGCTCTGCAGATGCCAAAGGGTGCTAATGGAGAATGCAGCTTCTGGCTCAGGTCTACTCAAGCAGGCTATTTCCCCCTACTGCGCGCACACAGAGCCTGTTGGTAATCGGCGATCAGTTCCGGAAGCCTTCCAAAAACGAGGCGCCTGCCGTGGAAGGTCTGCGCGAGGAGACGACGGAGGGCCTGGAATAGCATACCATGGACACTGGCCACGTTGCGCCTCCCTTACTTCTGGCCAAGAGTTATTATAAATAACCCCAGTTTGTGGATTAGCTGACTGGGATTACAAGCCTTGATACGAGCAGAGCGGGGATTTCCAGCTTGGCTTGTTTTTGGTCGCAATGCCTTCTGTTCCGAGCGAAATGGCAGCTAATACCCCTAAGGAGCCGCTGCAGCATGGAAGTATGTCTGCAAACGCAGCATGCAGCATGCCCAGCTATGCAACATGTTGGACATGGGTCTGAAGTGGACTAGGTCGGTGGATTGGCTGCAGTGTGCTCCTGTGTGTTGTGCCATGTTGGGTGGCTGCGCTGCCATATGGTTTACTCTTTCTCCTTGTCCTAGAACTTCATGAACCTCCAGGCCTTCTGAAGAGAGATGTTATGATGAGGAATCCTGCACCCTTCATGGCAATAATGCAAGGCATGTTCATTGAGAATATCACTAGGATTCTCAACCTGAGTGCCGCACCGTCGCGAGCTTTGCGCTGCACGAACCTGAACCGGACAATCTTGTGGCGACACGAGTTATTTTCACTCTCCTTCGAAACATGTGCATCGACGCGTTGCGACATGTACGCATATGCATGGACGTATTTAAGAGTGTCGTTGCATGTGCACGAACTCGCTTTGAACTGTCTTCCTTAGATCACGAAGGAGATGTTTGACCTCCCAACCCTTCTTGAGTCAAATATGGACAGCCAAGGGGGTTCCAACATGGAAAGCAAAGTGGCAGCTGTCTGCTTCATCGCTAGCGGAGGGCATTGCTGCGTACGTCTATGGTAAAACAAAGGTTCCAGCTGCCCAAGGACCCTGAACCTCGTTTCTGGACCGCAAACATGGATCAGAAATTCTACGGCGATACTAGCAATGATCCCTATAAGCTCCCTATAAGTACCTGCAAACCTTAAATACAGTAGTGTCCATGTTCTTATGCATTCCCCTAATTACCACCGCCTTCTAAGGATAAAAAATCCCTACACCCTAAACCCTAAACCCCTAAACCATTAACCCTACAAACCCTAAACTCCTAAACCCTAAAAACTAAGCTCCAGGTTCGGAGCATGGCCAAGCCCTGCAAAGAGACACAAGCTTAGATCGGCGCGGTTGGAGGTGATGGGGACACCTGCCATCGGTCTAGGGTTTAGGGTTTAGGGTCTAGGGACTTTAGGAGGGACCCCTCCCATTATCATATATAACCCTTATATAGCCATTATATAACCCCTATNNCCCTAGGTAGTCCCCATATTAACCCCATTAAGCTACAAGGGTCCCTAAGGGGTCCCTCCAAAAGTCCTTAGAACTTGAGCTAGAATCTAAACTTCATAAGGTTTAAGGTTATATACGGTTATATAGGGCTGAAGATTAAAAAGGGCTACAGTCTAAACTCCTAGCATCCCCTGAATAGTCCCTATGGTAGTCCCTATATCACCCCATGTTTAACCCAACTTGTAAGGAGTTTAGACTATAGCTTACTCGAACGTTGAGGGGCGACAACAAGTGGCAGGAGATCATGCCCCAACAATGGAGAATCAAATGGAAAAGAAACTGCAAAATGACAACTCGGTTCAAATATAAGGGAATTACCAACATTATCGTAACTTCATCGTGCTAGACTGATGGACACTGACAAGTTGCACATAAGTACTGTCCACCCTAGTTTTGCCGACTGCAGGCGTCGGTGCCAGTTGAGGCCACGACTTGGCGAACTGGGCGAATGTGTATTGAGTGCAACCTGACTTCGCGAGGTTGTCAAGGGCTACTTCCAGGCATGCGTGTACGAACTCAGCCCAAAAAGCACTGCAGGAGAGATATTGCGGGAGCTGGCTCACATCATCTAGGACTAGACCCCAGTAACTGTAGACCATTTGCATGTACTGCACGTCCAGCGGACACTGCCAACTTACCAAGCAGCTTCGTCGTCCTGCTCGACACCTTGGTCCATGTTGCCCATGTGCAAAAGTCTCGATATCATGCCAGGCGGCAGCTGCTGCTAGCGGTTGGGTACTGCCCCCACCCTGTAACAGTCTATAATAGGGGTCATATTAAGGGCGATATATAACTACATTGTAAATCTTACCCAACTGTTAATGAGTGGGGGCAGTACCCAAAGCATAGGCCATCCTGGTGCTCGACTGGCTAAGCTCAGACATGGTTGCGTGCTGAGCGGTTTAGGGTTTAGGGTTTAGGGGTTTGGGGTTTAGGGTTTAGGGTTTTGCGTGCTGAGAGGCAGCCCAGCTTGCTTAAAATCGAACTTTGGGTGGGAGCTGTCAGGGGAAACAACGCTTGAAGGTGCTTATGGGAGACACACATTCAAGGCTTGACTTCATAGTAATAAGTATAAAACCATCACACTCACAATAAAAACACAACAATCACAATAATAATTATAAGAGTAATAATGATAATAATAACAATACTGACAGTAATTTGTGATAACAACAAGTACAGTAATCAGCATAGTAACAACAAGAACCATAATGACAATAATGATGATATTGATAATAGCTACCCTAAACCTTTTTTTTGCATCAGGGCCTCATTACTGCCTGGCCCCTAAACCCTGAACCCTAAACCCTGAACCCTAAACCCTGAACCCTTCGTGCAGGAGGAGCTGCCACTGAGGGGCGCTGCGGCCGCTGTGATGAAGAGCTGGTGCGACTGCGGCTTCAACTCAAGGATTTTTGGGGTCACTACCAGGGCCTTCCTTGTACCCTTAACTGGGTTGCTGTTAAGGAACTTAAATTAAGTTACTATGTACCCTATTATTTACTATATATACCCATTATGGTAACTTTATTTAAGTTCCTTAACGGCAACCCAGTTGATTGTGGAGATATGGTCCCTAATAGTGGGTACTTAGGCCCTAATAGAGGGTAGGAGGAGGGTCTAGGTACTTACTGGTGGTTAGTAGGGAATGAGGGAATATGTGTTATATATATAATGGTTAGATGAATAGGGCTTATTGTATGGAATATGCGGATTTGTTAAGGATTATATGGGGATTATAACCTCTTTTTCCCTACTAACCACCAGCAGGATTCTGGGGTCACAACGGCTGAGAACAGCAACGAAGATCCCGAATGATAGGCATGCAAAGGGAAGGGTTGGCTTTGGCAACATGATATGACGTTGCGCCACCTGCTGCGAGCTGTAGTTGACCTGAAAATCTCAGATCTTTCGGAAATGCTTTTACAGTTCATGTGGAGCCGTTTAGGTCATGTATAGTAGCTGCACTTACCTTTGCGGCAGTCAAGCGTAGGCTTGCGTTGACAACTTTGCGCTTGTATGATCGCTTGGCAACAGGTGCGGGTGAACGCACGGCACGCTCCTGACAAATGGTTGAACGCAATGGATTGGTACCACTGTGGCCGAAACATTCACGACCAAAATTATCAATTTATGTGGCAGCTGTTCTTCGCTACTGCGACAGCTTCAACAAGAAGTCCTAATGCCAGGTAAGTACATAGAAATTCATGGCAACCTCTGAGCTTCGAGCAATGACAGCACGACGGAATGCCTTTTGGGCTGTGTGGCCTTACAGCAGTCACTTCCACGACTTAGAGTTTAGGGTGGAGGCCCCCTTTCCGGAGAATTAATTAAGCTAAGCGAGGCCAAATAAGCATGGAAGCAATCGTTCTTCTCTCTGACAGGCTACTTTCTATGGTTTCTCGACTAGGAATCTCATCAACACCACTCATATGTCATATGCAAAGGCAAAGGTGCAAGCCCCACAGAGAACGCTCATGATGGCGCCAGACACCATGCGCACGCTCTTTCGTCACATATGCAAGCGCATGTTCAAATAACTTGAAACTGCCGCGGGGCTATCTCTTAAGCACAGTCTATGTTGCCGCTGCCCTATGGATGATCCAAGAGTCATGTAGAGATACGCCTGACGCAGCCGTGCAATGCAATCAAGCAACATCGTGATGAATTACTTGAAACTCGATGTCCGCTCACTTGAAAACCCTCACAGCCGTGTGGGACTCGAAATGGAACAGTCCTGTGATGTGTCTCTGGAAGCTGTGTTTTTACTTGTCAGCAGAGGCAAAGACTTTAAAGACATGCAAAGACACTCAACTCGCTACCAGACGCACCGTCACAGAACCTGCACGGAAGTACCGTGCACTGACTTCTTGTCACACGAACTTTTCTGGCTTAGCCGCACCTTCAGACGAAACTGAGTCCAAAGCTTGGCCAAACCCTTAGCAATAGAACGGCACGAAGCTTGCCATTTTTCAGGATGCTGCCTAGGACACACCTACACTAGATCTTGCGCAAGCTTCGTGGCTAGAGGAGTGAACCTCTGGAACTGGAACTGGGCATTGCCCTCACGGCACCACATAGCCTCCGAGCGACTCGTGGAGTGAACCTCTGGAACTGGAACTGCGTACCACTTTCCAGATACCACATAGCCTCAGAGCGACTTCCGCAGCGCGATGACGGCACTAGTCATGGCCACCAGGGCAGAGGCAGCCACTGCTGGCTGCTCTTCAATCCAGCCAAACATCTTCTGGCTGCGATCCTTTTGAATC